CCAGGACCTTCCTGGCTGTGTGTGTGAGTGTGTGTGAGTGCGTATCAGCTGCTTAAGCCAGAACTTCGGGGAGATCCACCAAAAACTGGGGGGAGGAGTGCTGGGCGGGGTGACGTGCAAATGCCAGAAAAATATTATGTGACATGATAAATATTGCACACAGGGGGATTTTTCGAGGCCATAAACGGGGATACAGCCGTTGTTGTTGTCAGCATCATTGCCGAAATAATATGACAGATTCATTCGTGAACCTGATGAGTGCGGCGATAAGTTGTTGCTGTGGTTTCGCATCTTCTGCCTGCTGCGGTGGCACATTGGGTGTTACTTGTGGGCCAAGCAAATTGGGTGGCAATCGTAGGCATACCGCTGTTCTTGGTCGCTTCGATATAAAAAATGTTATTTGATTTACCATATACAAAGTGGGACTCTATTAGAGCTCAGTTAGCAGCTCGGCAAAAATTAAACAATTCCTTTCCGCTTGTTGCACTTCATTTTCCTAAAATTAAATGATTTTCTAAGCAATTGTTCAATTTTTATTATCTGTGCCCAGAACTCATATATATACTCATAAGCTAATAAATGAATATAAATCAGTAATTTACCTTAGTAATGACATCATTTAGTGTCTTCATAGCAACTCACAACAGTATAAACAATGTATAACAATGAAGAATCATAGTTGATAATTGAAACCGTGAAAATGGGATGTTTAAAGAGGCGTTGGGTGATTAATGGGGGATCCCCTCCAGGAAGCCACTTCGCATTGCCATTCCAATAACCTTTGGCCATGTCTGCGGGTCCTTCGCGTCCTGGCCGCCCGACTCGGAAGTGCCCCAAAAATGAAAATAAAAGGAACGAGAACGAGAAACCAAACAAACAAAATTGGAGGACGCAGGGCGGCGATGGGCGATGGGCGTGGGACTGGGATTGGATGTGAGTGTGGGTGTGAGGGAATCCTTTTGTTCTTATTGGAGCACGCGCTGCCAAATGCCAATACAAATGGCGCAAAAAAGGACGCGCGGCTGCTCCAGCCGCAGAAGGAGGAAAAAAATGGTGGGGAGAAAAAGTTACTCAGGGTTGCAACCACTTTGAAGTGTTGCTGTTTGCTCTGCTCCCTGTTGGCGGGGATTTCGTCCTTAAACATGCGCACTAAACGCTAATAGTTTGCCCTTCGCCCCCAGAAAACCACCCCCCAGACAAATGGAGCTGCTCCATTTTGTTGTTGCCACTCGGGGCGGCTTTAAGAACATTCAGGATTCAAGCTTAAAATGTCCGGCGAACTGGCTCGTAAAATATTCCGAAATTGCATTCATTAATGCCCATGCTCACTGATTCGGGAGGGAGCTGTTGTTTACTTCCTGTGCCCGCAAGATTGATTCACAGCGTGACCAAAGGTCCTGCAACAAAATTATTCACGCATCTCCGTCCAGGACATGCAAGCGGCCGAGAATCATGAAAAGGACGAAAAAAATGGACACGTGCGCTCCCTGATTTTTTACGACTACTTGGCTTTCGGGCAGGAGGAGCTCGGGGGGTTGGGGGGGAATCCTGTTTACGAGGGTGTTGTACACGATTTAATATCCTTGACCCGTGGAGCAGTCGACGAGCTTCCACAACCTGAAGTCCTGCAAAAAAGTTTTCATAAGCCAGCACATTTCTGGTACTTTGCGATCCTTTGATCAAGTTAATACTATAGCTTACTCAAGCGGCACTCTGTATTTTATTTTATTCTTTTAAAGCAAAAATACTAACTAGTGTACTTAACTAACATTTTTTTATATGATAAATCAATTACCTTCTAAAATATATTGTCTGCTTTTATTATATTTTTTTATATGATAAATCAATTATTTCTTAAATATAATATAAAAGTGTATGCTTTGCCCACACTATCAAAATCGTTGAGTTAAGTCTTTCACCTTTTTGGCCCACACTTACAAAAAGCAGAAAAAGCAAATAACAACCCAAAAAATTGCATTCCATAAAAAGCAACCAGAAAACTGGGCGTTTCCGGAACCCGCAATAACTGTCAAATATCAATGTGCCATAAATAAATAAATTTATGTAGGACAATAAAAATAAAATCCAATAAAATTGCCTTTCCTGTGGGTCGCCCCTAAACAGACCAACTCAAGGAATTCAACTTATAAACAAAAAGGATGTAAAACCAATGTACAAATACATTGAATTTACATGCAATAGAATAGGTGTGCGACCCGCATACTCGAATGAAGGTCAAGTTCGGTGACAGATTCAATGGATTTAATTAGATCAGATTTATGCATAAGTTTTGGGGAGCAATGCAACGATATTTTCCTTTATTTTGCCCGCATTTGCCTCAAGCATTTATGAGCAATTGCATAATTATTAGCTTGTAGTTGGACTTGAGAAGGCAAATGACATATTATCTCAGTGACCCTAGTTTTATGAACACAGGACACCCCTACCAAGAAGTCCATGTGTTGTTTGTATGCCCCAGACTAATGATGTTGGCTGGCAATTCGTAATCGATGGGGGTTGTATATGCCAACAATAAATTTAATTATCGTTAATCTTCGATAATTTGCCATGAGAAAATGCTCAGTTGGTTTGTTATGGATCGTTTCCGATGATTACTTTTTTTTTGCGTTTTGCCCCTAAGTAGATGGAATTCGAGATGAATTGTCGCATCAGCTTATATATTTTTTCTTTAATCGACCTTTTTAATGCGCAAATTTAAATATGTACCTGACATAAACCTTTAAGCCCGCGTTCGCAATCAATAGATTTATTGTCAAACGAAATGCAGACATATGACGACAAAATCAAAACAGTTCAATTAATCACACGGCTCAGAGCAGATCGCAGATAAGTCAGCGCCCATTACCTCGAATAATCAGCTTTAGACCAGATTATTTGGCCTAGGTTAGGGTGGCTAGGTTTTCGATTAAAACACACTTCAGGCCCGGCAGTCGATAAGCTACACGTATTTACATACATTCAGATGCAGACGCACATCAAAGCGAGCATACCAACCGGCGAAACTTGACATTTTGCACTTGGTCAAGCAGAGAGCGCTGGGAATCGGGGAAATTGTGGCAGGCGGACATCTGAAGGGGTTTGTGCAACTTATGGCGACATCGATAGGACAAATAGCAAAAAAAGAAGGAGAGAAACCCCTAAAAAGCGGGAAAGGCGGACTCAACCACTCGACAAGCTGTTGGCACACATAGCATGTGCTGAAAGCCCAAAGACACTCGAAAGTATGCTACAGTTGCCGGGAAATGTCTTCACACACACAGCCACACACACACAGGATCGCACACACACAGAAGCGCACTTTAGGACTCGTTCCCAATCCCATTCTTTAGTCCAATCCAAAATCCACGGCACCCATTCCCAAAAGTTGCCTGTCATTTATCTTCGCCGGTTTTTTTATTATTTTGTTTGTTGCCGGGGTCTAACGAGAAATGTCGAGCAGCCCAAAGTTTGTTGCCTCGCTTTTTTTATCTTTTACAATTAGAAGCGTTGTCCCTGCGTTTTCCATATATTTACAGAGGGAGAAAAGCTTCTGATAGCTACATATATTTATGAAACACATAGGTAAAAGTCGAGGCAATGCTCAAGTGCTATGCGGAATACTCATGTTCCATTTACGAAATGTTATTTATAATTTTCGACAAATTGAAATGAATTCGTGCCAGTGTTTTTGGAGATATATACATTTTTGCTCCACCGTTTTTTTCTGCCCTTGGTCAGATAAATGCATTTTTGGCTGTTTCCCCCACTCAGTTAGCTGTGATTAAGGAAGGAAATTGTTTCGGACAACGCACAAAACAAATAACGCTCCTGGGGTCGTCCTGAGGAGGATGTTTTTCGTCCTTATCGGCCAAGTAGCATCATTTAACTGCTGTCTGTGGTCGGTTTCCTTTTTATTTGTATTACTTGGTTTTCAGGTTCTATTTTGGTGGGGCTCAATTGCCGGGCATTGCAATTTGTCGTGATAAATGTTAGCAATTATTGGTCTAGGTAATACAGAGTAATGTATATTTATTGATTTCGACTCTATCTGCTTTTTAGTACTATTTTGGGTCTCTGAATTCAATATGTGTATATATGTATCCGTACACACCCCTCTCTACACTTCTTTTGAACTTGATTATTTGCTGTTCCACGGGCATATCAGACAAGGAAATCAGTTGGCCTAAAACCACTAATTGGCATATGGACTTGTGGCCTGCCTGTCACACCGATGTGAACAGGTTGCCGCAGTAACTGCAATCTTAGCTTTCGAGATGGGGTGGCATATTTTTATTTGGGTGGATGAAGCTGTGAGCCACGCAGACCCAAGCCCAGATAATTACATAATCAGGAACGTTAAAAAACGGGCATTGTGAGTGGGGCGGGGCAAACGTGAACGGGTGAAGTGACATTTTGCGGTTAAGCAATTTCGTCCTTTTCGACGAAGGACTTCACTGCGCCTGGCAACGAACGCACAATTTATAATTGTCAAGGGAATGTCCGACGAGCGAGTGGGGTGGTTGCTGGCAGTGCTGATTTATGGAATTTAATAAATTTCCACAGATTTAATCGCTTGTAATTATACGTGAAGGAGACGCCAGCTACAACAGCAGAGAGGGAAATGTGATATTGCAAACTTTTCAATTAAAATTAAGATCGAAATCGGCGACAGGTGAAGTCCAGGACAGTTGGTGCGGTCTCCCTTTTTGATTGGTTTTTTGCAGCTTTCGATTCGTGGTCATTTTCAATTCGATTTCGCAGCCAAACATTTTCTCCTATTTTTATTTCATTATGCTGCACATATATGTGTGTGCAGCTGAGGAGCTAAAACTATGACATTTTTACACAAACGCTTTAAAGCGAATTGATGAATAACCCAAGGACATCATTCAAAAGTATACATTTTGGGGATAGTTGGTTAAGCCAGTCTAATTATTCATAGGGAACTATTAGCTTGGCCGCGAGTGTAATCGCTTATTTTCTCTGGACGCCGAGGTCGCCTTCTGGTAGTTGTTATTGTACAGTATTATAGAGGCTCTGATATCCTTACCATTGGCAGTCGCAGATTGATTTCCCCCCTCACTCCGCCCGTCTGCGGTCTGTGTTTTGTGTATTTCCTTGGCGACATACTGGCCCACCCACAGGACTCCAGTTTTTATCCAACTTCAAAGGACTTTCGGCCGCTGCTGAGCCTCAAGTGTCCTTGCAGTATGTCCTGCGCCGGCTTATGCGACATTTTTCTTTACTCATTTTTTTTTCACATTTTTTCTCATTTATGTAGCGCTTCACGGGCTTCGGCTCCCTGATTTCATTTTTTGTTTTCTTCTCCGAAGCAGGATGAGTGGGCCTCAAATTGATGGCCCAAAACGATGAAGAATAAGCCCTCAAGAGGTGTGGCAGAGTCGGCACTTTTGCGGCTGCCACACATTAGAATTGGTCGCTGAGGCTGCCAAATTGCATAGCTTGCGGTTGAATTGAGCAGCCCCTATAAGAATGGGGTGCCAGCTCTACAAATTTACAATTAAGTCAGCTCCATTTAGTGTCTAGCTGCAGGCTTTAGTTACGGCCATCTCAGTTGTTTCGAGCTTCATCTCAAATGCTTGTAGAGTCAGTAGAATTTTAGTAGTATTTTGTATAACTATGTACCAAATTGTTGGGTTCTTCCATCGAAAGCGCTGCCAAACCGCACCATGCCGGATATTGAGAACCAGGATGCCATGGGGCTGGGCAAGTTCATTGCGTGGACCCTGCTAGCTCTTGTAATCTGCCTGCTGGGCGCCATTCCGCAATGGATGGTGTTGTGTCTGTTTGGAAGAGATGCCCTGATATACACCATTGCGTGCTTCTTCGTGGCCTTCGTGGTGCTCGTCTGCATGCATTTGATTGAGCTGCTGAAGTACTGGAGGCCCTACAACTATGTCGCCATGTTCGTTTGCTACGAACTGCTGACCCTCGGAACTGCGAGTTTCCTGATGAATTGGCGTCTGAGTTGGGCCATTGCGGTGATGGGCGTGGCTCTGCTATTCCTTGGAATCGCGCTGCTAATTTGTCTCCTTCTGATTTACACTGGACTTTATATGAACCCCTTCAAGCTGGCTGTTGTGGGCGGAATGCTATTCGTTCTGGCGTTCTGCATTGAAATCATGAATGTCTTCCTGTGCTGGTGGTACTGGCAGGATGTGGCTATTGGCGTCTTTTTTGTCAGTGTAGCTACTTTGGTCATCTCCCACGTGCTGATCACCTACCTCAGCTTCGGATTCCTGGGCAGAGATGACTGCTTGCTGGTCGCCATAGTGCTCTACATCGCCTATATACTGTTCCTCATCGCCTGTCGCCTTTCCGCCTTCTATATCGAGGAAAATCACTCCATAACAGCGACCAGTTCAAAGTTTGGTGCAAGCAACCCTGGTCACGCAGATGAAGAGTTCTCATAAAACTGTGTGATGTGTATAAGCCTGACTGTCTTTTTTCAACTGATTATATCTTAGCCAATTTTTTAGTAGTGAGTGAATACTAAATAGAGTCGTATATGGGCTATTCCTTTTCGATAAGCATGACGTGTTTGTGTTCATTTTAAAAGCGATCTAGAAATGGTGTCATGCATTATCGCTTCCGCAACTGGTGAGTATATAGTATATATAGCCTCAATCACGTGCCTGCTGCAATGTGAATACGTGACTCGGGAGCTGATCTTCAATCGAAATCTCTGAGAAAATAACAAAACATGACAGTAAAGTTTCACTTGTTTCATTCGGGTCCTCCCATAACTACGAATGATTTATTTAGTTAGTAAGTTAAAGGGAATTAACAAATGTGGAGTTGTGGCAGTAAGAAAATGTAGGCACTGTTGAATAATTACCTTTACATTTAGCACTTTGACAATGCGAAATCAATTAAAAGTCCCATTAAATTGTTGCACATGAAGCAGACTTTCGTGTGGTAAAAAAGGCCAAAAATTATGGAATCATGGTCACAACGGTCGGCCGGCCATAAATTAAGCTGGAATAGTATTTGGCCATTCAAATGTCCGAGCAAAGTTGCGGGCTGGGGTGGACCAAAAAAGGACGGGGCGATATTGAGGAAGAGATGGCCGGGCAATTGAAATTGTCGTCGTTTGTGTTGTTATTGCTCGGTTTTTCTGGCTCGCAGCGGATGCAATTCCTACAAAATGATAATTTATGATAATGATGCTTCCGTTATGGGGAGCACAAAACTGGACATTGGATGGCACAGGACATTGGATTGTGTGCGCCGTGCTGCACATAAAAATCAGCCAGTGAGATATGGCGAAAAATTTGCCAGTTTCATTCATTTTACGGGTCGGGCCTCGCATATTTATTGATAATTTCCGTGAATTTTGCAGCAGTCAAGCGAAAGCGGAAGTTATGCCATTTGCTGCACAACCCCCTCTCAAAACCCCCCTCCCCCCCACCAAATTGGACAATAAATGTGTAGTTGTCGTCCCGGCGATGGGCGCACGCCTCCGTGGGCGTGGCACTGGGTTAGAGTCACTACCAAAATCAAAGTGCCTATCGATGGCGTTGATTTGCCTTGTTTATTGTGTCGGCCAAGGCGGCGGATCGCCCCCCTATAAGAACCCCTCCCATCGTCCATCCAATTGTTTTGACTGCCCCTGAGTATTTATGGGTTACGCTCGAACAACAATGACAGTGGGCTGGCTAGTCCATTGTCTGCGATTATCAATAAGCATTAGCCAAACAATGGGATGCTCAGTGTCACTGGATGCGCCTAGCCCCTTTCCCGCTCAGCCCACTTGGGTGAGCATTCTAATGACCTTGAAAATTAGTTCCTGCATAAATCTGCCACACCCACACCCACTGATCGCTGCCACACCCACCGCACACTGTTGCCCATAATAAGTTCTTAATCATTGTTTATTATTTATCGCCGATTATCGCCGGCATATTAATTGCTGGCCATGTGACAAAAATTCCATTTTAATTTGCAATTACAAACATATGGCTGGTCGGCCCGAAGCACCGACAATATGCTCGAAATCAGCACATGGCTGATGCACTGCATCCGCTTTTGGTCAGCGGCAGGAAGATCCATTAAGGCCACATAAAATGCAGTGGACCGGAGCGCAAACCATAATGAGATGAATATTGTTACGAGCACTGTGCTTAAAAAATAAATTCAATTTATAGCTCATTATCACTGATTTTCTTTAATGTTTACATTTATTTTAAGCTTCTGCCATCTTTGGCTTACATTTATCAGTGGTCGAGTACAAAGTTTTGGCAGCCAAAAGAAAGCGCATTGAGCCAAGCTGCTCATTTGCAAGAGTTTAAAGTGCACTTGCCAGTTGCATGTGCATATGAATAGGAAATAGTTTTCCTTATCTGTCACGACACTGCCACTGATTCTGACTGCGACTTTCGGTGGCAATACGGTGGCAAATGGAGCCAAAAGTTATGGGGGAGCAGAGCCTCGATTTGCCCAACTCCGATTTCGGCGCGGAAAACTTTCGCTGGGATAATGCGAGTCGCACAGAGAACGAAGTGTTTGGCATAAAGTTATGCGCCAGCCAAACAACAATAAAATAATATAATTTTTTTGTTTGCCAACTCTCAATTGGGTTCGTACACGAATACCCCGCGCCATTATTTGTATTTTTTTGGCAATTCGCGACTCGTTCGACGCTGGGCCATAAACTTTTCAAGGAATATCGAAAGTTTGCTCGCATCGCGTTCGGCTCGCTAAAAAGCAAAAAGCTGCGAGTTGCGAGCTGCGCGGGAGACACACAAAGGCTACAAAACTTATAACGAGAAAACTTTGCCACTTGGCAATGCGCGATAAAGAAACAAACGGAACAGAACCCAGCAAAATAGAGCCGGGCTCCAAGGAGAGATGAGATGAGCAGCCGAACCAGGAGCGAAGGAGATGCCGTCGAGCTGATACCACTGGCAGTGCTAACTTGGCCGAAAGCAAAATGGCAGCACCTTATCCGAACTATGAGTTCTTCCCAGCTGTTTGGTGTTACGTTTCCAGACCAATCATAATGTGGATTGCGGCTTGGTACTCATTTAATTTTAGTTCCTTAAAATTCACTATGAAATCAACATGTATTGGTATTGCATTGGTTAGAACTGCGAAGAAACCTGATCACCAACAACATTTTTGCAATGCCCAAAATGTGGCGGAGGATCTTTGATTTGTTCTCTTTTTTAATTAGAGTCTAAGCACATATCATATTACACTCACTCAGCTTGGAACTACATATGATTTCGGCTTGGCTTGTTTATTAAATAAATAAAAAATGTTACATTTACTTGAGCACTAGAACTATTCTGATATACCCGACGCAAAGAGCAAATGGCAGGGTATTCCGAGGCAGCGATTGGATAAAAACTTGCTCAGCCTCAACCGGTGGAGCCGCCGGCTGTGCTGGCTAAATATAAAACTTCGACAGAAGCTGGATTTTTCGCTGACAATGGAAAAGCGGAGGGAAACTCGGGAAAACTCAAGAAAACTCATTCGCGCGTTTTAACTAACTAGCAGAGTGAGCCGCGTAAGCAGAAGGAAAAACTGGCAAAAATTATTATTTACGCACGGATGGTGTCATCTAATTATGAATTCATTTTCGTTTTCTATGCCGCCGCCGCGCCCACAACAACTGGCTTTCTTGGGCTTTGCTCCTTTTGGTCCTTTGGTCCTTTGGCCAGGTCCCAGAAATAAACGAAATGCGACCGCACTCGGACAATGCACCTGCATTGCTGGGAAGCAGCTTCCCGATCGTCATTCTTCCCATTTGGCCGTGGGTTGCTTTTAATGCCATATTTTGCATGGGATTTTTTTTGCACGGGCCGCCATGATAAAAAGTTTGCTGCACGCAGCATTTTCAGCATTTTGAGCATTTTGCATTCTGCATTTTGCATTCTGCATTTTTGCGCCCAAGTTGCATTTTTCAGACCAGACTGGGGGACTCGACCAAAGAAAATTTCATGCTCTTTGAAAACTTGTTAAAGTATGATAACCACAATGCAGGCCACACCCCCGCCATTTTCCGCCCTCCGCCATCAGCATGCGTTTTCCGAGAAAATGCCAAGCCAAAGAATCGCCGCAAATAATAATAAGCAAGTTGGATTCCAGAGCACGGGACTCGTTAACTCGCCTCCGAAAGTTAAGAAATGCATAAAATTTGTTAACAAGCCAAAAAAAATATATAAAATAAAATACGCGAGAAAGCATAATGCCTTTCTCATACTTTTTCGAGGGTGGCCAGCAGCCACAACAAGGCATCCATTTTCTTAGCGGAAGTAGTTAACAAGCGCGAAATTTCCTTTCTGATACCCTTGCCAAAAGGATAAGTCCTTTGTAAGGGCAAGTTTTCCTAAAATATTGCATTCCTGCATCATATAATTCGTAAGTGTTAATTTGGGCTTACAAAGAAATTATTGTTTAATAGATAAAACTTGTTCTTCTGGCCAAGAAATTCTAGCTTAGTGGTGCAAATTCCCAAAAAGAGTACTCATAACTGCTAGCTTGCATAGCAATTTTTGAAAATTGTTCTAGATTCGAAAAGTGCGTATAAGCGTTTGCCTTTGTAGTGAATATGCCATACATCATGCATTATGTTAAACTAAACAAATTCAGGTAAAGTTTCGCTAATGAGATTCCGAAGAAACCAAGCGAATTATGGTCTTGTGTTTTACAAATGCCAGACGGCAAATGCAATTAGAGAAACCAAAAGTGTTGTAGGTATGGATATTAATTCTCTTATGACACAATAAAATATGAATATTTATTATCGCTCCACTCAGCCCAACGCAGAGCATTAAATAAATATTTTTAAATTGCATTTCAATTGGTTTTGTGCTTTTTTGTTTTTTTCGCTCGCTTCTTTAATGGCAGCTCGCATATTTTGCGGTTTCAGTATTTTCCTGCCACTTATTTGACCGCTAATTACATTTTAATGTAAATTAATGAATCTGCGCACTTAACTCTGCCCTCATCCCACAATTCCACAGCCCCAACTTTCGGACTTTGAGGTTGGGCCTGTCAACTGTCTGGCCGCCATCCTCAAAGATAAATTTTGACTCATTGGTTTCCATGGAACAACAACAGGAATTTGGCTCATTAGCCGGTCGTGTCGAAAGCCTGAAATGCGATATTTTTTCAGTTTCTCTTTTTTTGGCTTGAGCGTTTTGATAAATGATTGAAATAAATGATGTTGACTTTTTGGTACTGCCAAATTAAGAGGAGTCGCAGCGTTAACCCAAGTTTTTTGGCCTGTGGTTGAAGGCAAATGCCAGTCTTTTTAAGTGCTGGCGTACTTACAAGGCAAGTTTGTTTATTACAAGGCTAAAATACTTGATAAAACCGATTAGTGCTGAACTGCAAGGATGTTCAAATTAGCTCAATAGTTAGTCATATGAGTAAGGTAAGTAGATACTACTTTTGGCCTTTTACCAGAATGATTGCAGTAACATTTTCTTGCGCCTAAGGATCTGAAATTAGCCAAATGTGTTCCCACTCCCCAGCACCTGAGCACCTGAGCACCTGAG